TTTTGTTCGGTTAAAAATATTTCGATTTCGTCCTTTAATAACAATAATTTTCTTATACTTTGACCTCTTGATATCCATCTTACTTCTGCATGTAGTAATAAATTTGTGTAGTGGGAATCCGCATCTTTACAGAGATTTGAAAATAAGCGGCTGTTAAGGGCATGGCTTTTAATAAAATTTATAATCTTAACAGCATCTTGAAGCACATCGTTCAATTCTGGTGCTAATTTTTTTGCTGCGAGGGCCTCCCGATGAATAAGACAGTGAGTAAAAGTTATATGATCATAATGAGCAGCTTTAAAAAATGATTTAAAACTAATATTTTGGCCCGTCATCGCTTTAGCGCCATCTGTGCATACTCCACAGCAATTTTTCCATTCTAACCCTTCAGTTTTTAAAAATTCATCAACTTTACAATATATGTCTTTCCCTCTAGTACGGTCTTTGAAAGGACGACAAAATAACAATTCTTCCTCGACGTTTTCTTTATAAACGTATCTGACATATACTAACAACTGAGCTAATTTGGTAATATCAGTTGTTTTGTCCAACTGAATTGAAAATTTTGGGCTTTCTTTAATTCTTGTAATAAGTTGCACTAATTGATCATTGCTTATTTCAGAAATTCTATTCGCAACAGTGTCGTTTGACAAAGGAATTTTTCGAATATCATTGCTATATTTACTTCCATATAGTATTTCTACCATTTTAATAGCAGCAGGTAATACAAGATCTTCTCTGATGGTGAAAGGCTTTTTATTTTTATACAATACAGTATGAAACTTTGTATGACGCGAGTAAATATTTTTCATTAACGGTCATAAATTCTTCAAAAGATTTTATATCTTTATTTAAAGATTTTAACAATCTTTCAAAATATTCTTTTGGTTTATTGGCATAGAAGTATGCTTTGATTCAAGATGTCTTTTCAATTTTGATGGTTTCATACTCTCTGTAGCTAATAATTCATTGCAGATCAAACAAAAAGGTTGTTCATTACCATTATGATTTTTAAATGTAAAGCCAAATTGAAGAAAGACTCATTATATTTTCTTTTTCTTAGATTAGATGACTGTTTATCAATAATAAGTCCTGTTTGAGGAGACTTTGTAGCATTGTCTTCTGCATCATTACCTTTCTTACTTAAGTTCAGCCATTTATCCATGGTTAAAAATGATTTTAATCCAAAAAATACCTATAAATACATAAAAATAACATATTCCATATAATAATTAATAAATTAATTACTGAATAAATAAAAAAACTATATTATTCTAGCGATGTTCTGTAGTGATAAGCACGTGGTGAGTATGATATAACAAAGATATAGGCAAAATTACAAATAAAATGCTACCTTTATTTTCTCCCGTGGTTATTCACTTTACAGGATTCTAACAGATTCCGACACCCCTCGTTAGTACTTAAGTACAAAGAAAGCAACAGATACAAAAGGAAGAACCGTTAGTTCAAAATCTCGCGACAAAGGACTAACCGGACAAATTCATCCGTGACACAAAGAAAAAGTGTAGCTAGAAACTAAATTACTGACTACTTATACTAAAAAAGAAATAAGGAAAGGATAGACAAATAGGACAGATAGTCAAGTACTAGTCAAGAATGGGTACTCAAGATAGTTGACAATGCCAAAACGACCAGGACAACTCCACCACGTCTTCACTCTCTCATGTCCCAGCCAAAAGTGGTGTGAAATGTCTTATCTTTTGCCCTCCAGGCTGCCCCTTTTCTTTTGTCTTCTAACACAGTTATTCACCACCCATACTTCAAAAAAGTTTCTAGGAAGTTAAAAACAAAGAGAATAAGAACAAAGAAGGAAAGGAAAATATACATATATATTTAAGATATATACAAATCACGAAATCTATGACACAAAATGCGCCATTTTCAAACTCTCACAAATCATTCTCAATATTTTGCATTAAAATCTCGTGACCCCAAAATTTCGCTAAGCGACCCCAAATGGGGTTGCGACCCATAGTTTAAGAAGCCTTGTTTTAAGCTCATTTTCATAGATAAATTTTCTATTGAAAGACTGATTTGACTTAATTATATTGTGAGACAAGCAGAGGGTCAGGGGTTAATGCCTCCTGACCATTTACACTGCACAGGCTGGTAAAACCCAGTCTCGGAGTCGTCGGATGGCTAGGAAGGCAAAAAGTGAGTGGGGAGTGTGTCAGTAAGCCGGCAGGCATCCTTTCAAAGACAGGAGACAGGTTTAATAAATAAACAAAACATTTATTGAGGAACTAAATCTACGTTACAGAAGGCGATAATTAATTCTAATAAAATAAAAGACAAAACTGTCTGAAAAGGATCACCATTTATTACTTGTGTTCCAAGACTAAAACATTTTCGGCGACTGACCTTCCTTTTTAGGCTACTTGTCGCCGTAAAGTTCACAAAAAGTCCTTTTAAAAACACAAAACATCCAATTAAAATTTTATAAAATTTCTGAAAAAGGAACTGGTGACATGCAGTTGTCTTGCTTCCATCATACCTTCTTTTGGGGTTT